TATTATTATTATTTCTGCTAAGAAACTTGTTCATAGCTTTTACTTGAGATTGAGCTCCTGTTTGACAACTATTAAAATAAAAAAAAATTTCTCAAACTCATTTTCAACTACAAATTCTCGTAATAAAATATTGTGCACGTAAATTAACAAAAAACATACTTTTTAATCACACATTCTCCGAAAAATCACTGTTCTAAAACTCATTTTTTCCCAAAAAAAAAAAAAAAGACTCAATTTAATAGTTTTCAAATAGGGGTTGCTTGCATGAGAACTTTATTTCGTTTGTATTTTTTTTTCATGAAGTATATATAGGATTTATATGACACATCAACGATACTTAACATAAGATGAGCATTAGATCCACCAATAAATTTATATGTCACACCATCGGTACTTAACATAAAATGAGCACGGTACCCATCAGATCATTTCCTTGTATGTTTTTGCGTGTGTTTATTTTGGAGCCCTCACTATAGTAATTACCTACCCAGCCATAGGCAAGGTTAGCACTGTCTAATGAAGAAAACGATATTCAGGGATCTGAATCCAAGGCTTTTTTTTAACGGTCGTGCTACATATACATAATAATTTACATATATATTATGTGATAAAATATGATTAAGTCAGAATTTTTTCAACCAAATAAAAAAAAAAATTATCCACTCTCTTTTTGACACTTCATCCATATGTAAACCGTTATGTAATTTTTTATGTACAAGCAGCATTTTTCTGTTTTTAGTAATGACTTGCTCAGTGTGTACCTACTCCATCGAAAAGGCAGTGAAGAATGAAGAGGTACGCCTGGAGTTGGTGTGTTAATGGCCTGTTTGAGATGACTTTTGCTTTTTCTTTTACTTTTTCTTTAACTTTCAATAGAAAAGCTTTTGAAAGAAGCTATTTTAAGTTTTAAAACTAATTTTTAAAAAAATCTTCTTATTTCATATGTGCTTCTATAGGAAGTCACATTGAACCAACTTATTTTAAAAACTATTCTAACTAAAAGAAGTATATTCATGAAATTAGCCAAATGAGTTTTTGGGTCTCAAATGCTCCTTTTAACTTTTCAAAAGTCAAGTCAAATTAGGTTGAAAAAGGGTTTTATCTGAGCAACTCTGAACTCAAGAGAGATTACATTCCAAAATTAAGGGACTAAGTGTATTAATGTTTTACCGTGTGGGAAGAATAACATAATATATTTATTTGTAAATGAAATATATGGATCCCTGTCATCCATGTGATGGGATTCAAAGTCATTTTGTATATGATAGGATTATTTCTGGAGAATTAGATAAACCAGCTGGGATTTTACCATTTTCTGTTTCTTGCAAAAGAAAAGTATATTCTTGGTGCTTTTCTATAGACCTGTTATAAATTTTTCGTGTCGCTGGTTGTTTATCTATTCATGCATTCTTTGGATTGCAATTTAGGCATAGATGCAAGCAATTATAAAGATACTACAGAATTTTCAGTCGTTGAATTTATATTTTTTCATTTAATTTGTTGAAATACCTTAAATTGGAGTAACCTTAGTCCATAACGACGGTAAAGTTCAATATTTTTATCAAATTTTCCCTAATTCAGGTTGAATTACCTTAAATTCGAGTAACCTAATCCATTAACCAAGGCGGTCATTGATATGAAGAGAGCCCCATCTGGCCTGAAGGCTGAAGCCATGGACTTCGAATCCGTAACTGGCCATGTCGTGAAGGCCATTGTTCGAAACAAGGAAGTTCTTGTGGGAAACAAGGGCTTAATGTTGGCGCAAAACATCAATATTCCACTTGACGCCAAGGAAATACTATCAGAACTAAAGGGTTGGCTCAACTTGGATTCTTGTCTCTATTGACAGGGAGTTGTGATCCATTAAATCCCGGGCCTTGTGAAGTTGTTACCATTCTCAAGTCGATGAAAGTATAAGAGAATATGCGAATTCCATTGCCAAGCAAACTGGGGTAACTACTCTCATTGCAGAAGCTAAACCTGAGAATAAAGAAGAGAGAGTGAAGGAAGTTAAGGTGACTAGGTGAGCACCAAAAGTCGTGTAGAACCAGGTTCCTTCTAACCTTAATGGATCGACACATCAATTATGTTGGAGAGTTTTTTAATCCAGCAATCATAAAGGAAGAGGAGTATTTATTGATACTGAAAATAAAAAGGGAACGGGGACATATGACATGACCACCTGTCAACGAAAGTACAATGCCGAAAATTTAACTAGTCGAGGGCACTGGAAATTTAAGAGAAAAAGAAACCAGTGCTATATAACATGTCCCCTCTTCGTGCTTAGCGTCACCATTCGCTTATAGTCATATACTTTGCTGGCTCGTCATAGAGTAAGCCAGTATAGCGAAACTGAAATCCTATTTGTTACAGTGTCCAATCATGTCTAATATCATGTGTTAAACATGTATACAGAGTAAATGAAAAATACTAGAATTGACCTTCGAAAATGGATACGATTAATTTATAGTAATATTGTTCATATTTCGAATGAAGGCAGCAGCAAATGCGGTAGTAGCACGTCTCAAAAGGAAGTATAGTGGAACCCAAGATGGAGAAAACAAAGATAATATTTGATAATTGGATATTTCACACAATGGTTCTTCGATAAGTAGTGTTGGACAAGACCAAACGCATAAATTATTTTTCTTCATTAATATTGGCCTATATTATCCAATTCTCCTTAGCAAACATACCAACATATTGTTCTCCCACCTGGATTTTCGTCAGAGAATGTTAAGCAAGCTTCCCAGGAGATTCTGCCTCCTTTTTAGCTGCCATGGACTTCAGATTCAGTAGCGCATCTTTGGCTGGGGACATTATAGAATGTATCTCCTCAAAATGAGGTGCAGCAGCATTCTTCGTATCCTCGACCCACTTCAGAATTCTTTTATGAGGGCCTAAAATGCGATCACGATCCTTCGTTTCAACAACCTAATTCATGAATGGGAGGGAAGAAGGAAAAAACGATATCTAATTATCTCAAAGATTTCTTCAAGAAAGATTCAAACTAACAGACATGGATTTGTGTGACTCAACTGTAACAAAATTTAAGTTCAACAACTAATTTCAACGAACTATTTTATGACAACTTGAAATTTCAATAAAAGTACAATGATTGTGTATTTAACCCATGACAAGAAGATTGCCTCGTTATTACCTCAAGTTGCATGACTTCACACACTAAACTAAGATCTGCTATGGAAGGTTGAGAGTTTCCGAGCAAAAATGGGCCATCGTCCTGGAGCCAAAAGGACTCGATCTTCGCAAGAGATGCTATCAGAATTTTCTCACCTTCAGCTGCTTTTTCCAGGTTCAAAGGCAGCCCGAACGCAAGTGCGATAAGGGAATTAAAGATATACGTAGCTGCAAATAAAGCATTTTTGAAAGAAAATATAGGCTTGTTAGATAATGGGAGAAACATGAACAACAGTAATTTTATCACAATACACAGAGACAGAAATAAATGAATTACTAGATTGAACTGGCCATTGTGTAATGACATGCTGGCAGTTTGGAGCCTAATCATGCTATACACTATTTATAATTGTCCACTCAACTGCAAGTTTTTCTGATTGCCTATCCAATAATTATTGCTCTCAAAAATAAATTCAGGCATAATCCATAAAACGACGAAGTCATCAAAATGTCAATTGATTAAAGCACTCCACAGATCATTGCAGCTAATAAAACTAATTCTAGAGTTACAGCTAGAAAATATAATGTTATTAAATAAGAGTTTCATCTTTATAAATTTGTTCACAAAGAAATTCCTTAACTTGCCAAGATGAAGCTCAGATAGCAGTAAAAAACAAAGAAAACTAGTAGCATTTGCATGATTATCAACCACAGTAAAAAGAATCTTCTTTGTATAAACAAAATCTCACCTGAGCCACGTCGCAAATTAGAGTGATGCCAGTCGAGCACCGAGTGGATCTTTGCTCTTTTTTGAAGATCAGCCGGATACCTACGGCATTAAAGGAATAAGGGTGCCAATCAGAATTCGTAAATGATATATTGGAATGGATAGGGTAAAGATCCAATGATACAATCTAAAACATAGAAAGAGCGTTCCAAAATGATTAAGACCTATTTCACATCAACTACACAGCAAAACTTCGGCTAATTAATGCATACCAAGTCTGCATCGTTGTCTAATCTTTTTAACAGCATACACTTGTATGATCATGAAAGAAACTAGCAGTAAGGTTAACTCTTTTTGCAAATGGTGTTGAAAATAATTAAAGTAAATAAATTTGTCCCCTCTTAACAGCATAAGCTTTTATAGCATAAGCTTTTAGATGAACTCATTCAATAAATCAGAAAAATAGGTTATCTGAGTTTTTTTCAATAAAAAATGGTTCGCACAATACTTTGACCAAATTGTATCGTAGCACGTAGAAATAAAGGTTTTTTCGATTGAAATGACGCTTTAAGGCGTTCTGAGAGTTGGTGTTGGTATACGAAAAATAAGAATTGCAATACACATTCCCATGGCCACACTCGTATTTCTATGTCAAAATCTAGTGCAATATATCGATCATTTAGTTCATCTGAAAAATCTAGAGGTGACTAACAGCAAAAGCAAAGAAGCAACAGAACTTACCAGTGATCCGCAACTCCAGAAAATGCCGAAGCTAGATAGATGAGTATGGCATGACTGCAGAGGACGCCAGATTTGCAAACAAATTGAGAAATAATAGATCGTCTTATAGTTACCAACTTGTATTGAGAGAGACAGAAAAAAAAAATGTTGAAAGCAATAATCTTCGTACAGTGAACATAATTACATGTATAAATAAGATGAGGCAAATGCATCAACAACATTGGTTCTATATATATCGTCTGCAAATGAAAAGATTGGGTTTTTGCAAACAAAAAAATGCAGTTTGCTTGAGCTCCTATGAATAGCTTGTACATGCTCACCTAAAGATTGCTTGAGATTGACCCAGGAATAGAAATAGAACAAGCGGGAACACTATTTTTCAGGTTTTGCATATTCGCTCAGACAACTAAAGCACAGATTATAGCACTAATTAATAGTGTTTACTAGTGAGCCTATTTTAGAGTTCGGTTAAAATTAGATTACATTTTATGACTGAGTGGTTGGGACATGATTACATTTAGTCCGAAGATAAACAAAAACTAACACTGCATATTGTAATGAACTTTGCTACACGTACAGATTTTTTTTAACAAGATTGTCTCCTTGTATTAATTCTGCTTAAAAAATCTGTACCTTGAGAAAAATCGTATTATAATTGCTAAGGATCTAGTTGCTTTAGATCCTAGCAATAAACCAAACACAGTGAGGAAAAAAGATTCATGTAGCCGACTCCAATTTTTTGGTCACAAGGCTTAGTTTGTTTTTGTTGTTACTCTCCATTGATATTGGAGAAAAGAGAGTTAATGCAGCAGCATATTTGAACCTGGTTTAGGCATATAGTCACTGGCCAAAAGGAACCTTCGTAAGGTGTCCTTCAGAGTGAGCCCAAAATGGAGTGGGCTTGGAGTGAATTCCTTGGCCTGCTTTTGCATAATATAGGATGGATTGGATCTCCCCATAAGCTATAGCATTTAGAAAAAAAAGAAGAGAATAACAAGTGCATATCTAGAGTAGAGTAAGTTCCTAATAGGAATATGTGTTTTGGCAAAAGTAAGGAGCTCTTCTCTTTGTGTTTGAGTTTTGTATTTTGAGTTTTGAATTCATTTTGAGTTTTGTGTTTTAAGTGTCCATTTTGAGATTTTTAAAAATGTGTTCCTTTTGACGTTTTGAAAAATGGTTTTCAAAAATTAGAAAATGAAAATACGTTCTCTTCCTTCCTCACTCCAACTCTCTCTCTCTCTCTTCTCTCGTTCTCTTCCTTCCTCACTCCACTATCTCCCCTTTCTTTTTCCCCTCGTCTGATCGTCTCCCTCTTCTTCAGATCCTTCACTGGCGATTTTTTGCTGTGGCGACCAAACTGCCATGATTTTTTGCCATGAGGATATTGGTTGTGGTTTGGCCGCGACGCTGCGGAGGTGGGAGTGGTGGCGGTTGGGTCGCAATTTTTT